CATAAAAGAACTTCAAAGGGAACCTTAACAGCAAGCACACGTGATGTTTAAAATATGTATACACAGTATCTTCGCACTTTTTCTTTGTTCGGATTTCACACAAAATACCATCAACATCCACAACAAAATTCTCGTTTCACTTACTGTTTAGAAGTCACAATAATATTTTTCGCTTACGTGACAATGGCGAAAGGATTAGATCCAGTCCAATGTCTCCAGGAGACAAAGTATTATAAACTTCTTCCCTTTTCCCCCAACATCGATGCCTCCTGGATAAAAGAAAAATCACTGATTAACGCTCCGCCTGGACTCGATCGTTGGCAGAATACCAAGCGGGGTAAAACAGAATCAATCCCACCCCTGGGATGGGAATAAGGATTCTTCTCACTGATGCCATGCAGCAAGGGTCCAAGGATGCAGTGACAATTCTTAGAGTGGGCACGTTCGATCTCACCCTACAATTCTTAAGGCTGGAGGGTGTTTCTTCTTTCTGAATATATAAAAGGAAGTACAGGAATTTTAAGATGGTGACAAGAATAAACATGAAGATAGCAACAGTGCCTTTGAGGGTGGTTTACTGAGAGGCTCTTTTTTCGAGTGCTTTCGATTCGTAAGAGGTTCTGTACACTTTTATTCTGTGTAAATCGAACAAGTGTTTGAGAAAACATGTATTCTCTTACTTCCCCATAAGCTTGTTATTAGTCTGGAGTCGTTTTCGACGTAGCGTTGTTTGATGCTTTATGTTTTTATCATGATGGGCTCAGTTTGGTTTCAATGCCTCTAGGCGAAGAATGAGAATGTATGGTTAGGATTTGTTTGGGGTGCACGCTTATAAATTTGTTAAGGAAAACGTGCGTGGTTTATTTATATATTTATCTTTTTGCAAAATTGTTAAGGAAAATACACTCAAGAAATAAAATTTTTAAATGTCTGAATCAAACAAGTGTTTTAGAAAACGTGTGTTTTTTCTTATTATTTTTTATTGCATACTTGAATGGTTTTAGAATGAATTGTTCTTCAATCCTGTGATCTGTTTGAATATTTATGACTTGTTTTTTGATCCCAATTGCATATGCTTTCATAACTAACTTTGTTTTTATGCCTAAAGTATTGAAATAAAATTAAGAATCAGCACATTTATGCGAAACAGGTGGTAGTAGAGACATCTGCAATGCAAATAAAAGCTGAAGTTTAACAGCAGCTTTTCTCACTGAATTTGCATTGGAACATTATTTCTAGTTAAAAGAGTTGTAATAATGTGTTTATTAAAAAGGGGAAATGTCTTCCATGATCTGTTTGATTTTGATTGATGAAGTATTATAGCCTACAGGATGACCTATCGAATTGCAATATTGCGAAGAAATCATGACCGACGGGAATTGGTCGGGATTTCTTATCTGTCCAGTGAATATGGAATCCCACAAAGAGCCGAGAAAGCAGATATCTAATTCTCCAGGTCACTATGATTGCACAATCTTATTTTAAACCACGAGTTAAGAACCAGTCATTTTCAAGACAACAAAGTTGTGCTTAAAAAGTTCGTCTACATTTGCAAGAGTAGGGACAGTCAATGCGTGTCACATGCTTTTTTGCTATTCTTACACTATTCTTAGAAAAGTTTGCAGTTAAAAGTTCAGAAAATGCCAGGAATAATGCTTATCGGGTTTTAAGCGGTGTGATCAATGAACAACATTGATGCAACACTTATAGTATTGACAAACAGTTAATACTATAGGGGTTGCAACACTATGAGGGTAACATCATGGATTACGCATGTTGTCAATTTTTACTTGATATGCAGGCATGTAATGATCTTGTAAGGAACTTGAAATGATGATGGACGATTACCTCTTGTTTGCATTCCTGGCATTTTGATGGGCAACCATTACATTATTGAACGCTCTAAGGTCCCTTTGTATTATTTTCGAGGCCTATTTAACTCTAATTTTCAGCAGACCAATGAACGACCACATGTTGCCCGAAATGTCCCGAACTTCCTTGATTAAGAACTTGTTTTGCTGTTACTCTGGTCATCACGTTCTTTTGATCTTCAAACAAATGAAAACGTGTGGCTAATGGTTGCCGAATGATTGGCAAGCCAACACTCCTCTAAAACTACTGTCAATGATCTGAAACGAAGAGTTGAAACTGCATTGACTGAGATCTTTGCAAATGTCGTACAATTTGTATTTGACGCACTGTCCAGGTGGTAAAGTACTGCTAATTTTGAAAGAGATGGCAACTCTTGGTACTGATTTCGCAGGATATATACTTCCTGATATCATGGTAGCTTAATAACTTCCTTCTGATATTAAGTGTGAATTCAATAACTACTATTCTGTGACCTGCAACCTTTCAGGTGTAGCAATTTTAATGATCAGTAGTGTAAAATATTCTGGAAACAAAATGCACAAATACCTGAATACCGCAATTATTTGAGTTGCTTCATCATTTTATTAATTGAATAAGGTTGTACTAATTCTTGTGTGCTAGGAGAAACTTTATGAATTCGGAGTGATTTCATTTTTATGAATTTATCATTTTTAGTCCATTTTGATCCTTTATTTTCGAAGAAAATACATCGCATAATATAGGGATATATAATCCTAAATTTACAAGTTCGTTCATTGCAAAAAATGAACTGCACTTACAGTACCGCTCAAAAGTATCAGTACACCTAGAAACTTATAAAAAAAGGGCACAACTCAAAGTGTCATAACTTCTTTAAAAATGATCAAAAATGCTTCTGCTTTAGCTCATTTTGAAGCTTAAAATCTCTACTTTTATGTACTTGAATTGTTTTTAATTAATATATTTTGCAACTATGTACAATTACACTCTAAACAATCATAGAAAATTGTATTAATTTCTTGTGAAGTTTGACGCGATGTACGGGCACAAAGGGGTTAGATATTGTTAATTTTTATTATACCATTGAAAAATTTGGACTTTTAGCTTTCATTTGAAAAAAAAATTTCCAAAAAAAACATGTTTTTTGACGAAGTTATTGTCAAATAAAAAAAAAGTTTTTTTTTCAGAATTTAATGATTTTTCAGCAATTATAATGAATTCCGCACAGGAACTATTTAGGTTCGTCCTCCTACCTTCGGTCTTCGATCCATTAACCAGCATAAATCATATGTGGAAAGTCCTTCAAGAGCAGTGGCGAAAAATAGACAAGATAACATTAAAAAAGCTGATTGATCGGATGCCTCGAGTGTGTGCTGCAGTTATAAAAGCGCGGGGAGGATATTTTGAAGAAAGCAAAATATGATGTAAAATATTTTTTCATTATTACATTTTTGTTTTCAAATTTTTTCTGAGAAAAATACGAAAAAATAAATTTCAAAATATTAAATTGTAAACGTTGATTCTTATTTCATTATTATATTTTCCAAAAAAAAAAGTTAAAATTGTTATAATAAATTATGAAATAATATTATCGAGAAATATTAAATTTTAATTTATTTTAATTAAAAAATTTTCATATCATATTATAATTACACTAAAATTCATTATAATTGCTGAAAAATCATTAAATTCTGAAAAAAAAACCTTTTTTTTTATTTGACAATAACTTCGTCAAAAAACATGTTTTTTTGGAATTTTTTTTTTAAATGAAAGCTAAAAGTCCAAATTTTTCAATGGTATAATAAAAATTAACAATATCTAACCCCTTTGTGCCCGTACATCGCGTCAAACTTCACAAGAAATTAATACAATTTTCTATGATTGTTTAGAGTGTAATTGTACATAGTTGCAAAATATATTAATTAAAAACAATTCAAGTACATGAAAGTAGAGATTTTAAGCTTCAAAATGAGCTAAAGCAGAAGCATTTTTGATCATTTTTAAAGAAGTTATGACACTTTGAATTTTGCCATTTTTTTATAAGTTTCTAGGTGTACTGATACTTTTGAGCGGTACTGTACACCAATTGTATCATCAAAAAAATTTTAATGCAATTAAAACACTTATGCAATTGATGAATCCTTTTGTTGTTAATAAAGTTTCCCAAATGAAAAGCAAACTCCTTAATATTTCACAATAAGTTTTAAAAACATTTCATTAAATATTTTATTGCTGTATATACGCAAACTCATAAAAATCTCAAATTTTGAAGATGGTTGAAAATAAGTATATAAATATCTCAAAGGAAAGGGTAATACTCTGTACTATATATAATAAAGCAAAACCAATAAGTTTAAAGCATAAATGAAAGTATGTACATTCATTATGTACTTTCATTTGTGCTTTATTCACATTGTTTTTTTGCTTTGCTATATAAAACCAGTTATATAGTATGGCCGGGATAGACTGACTGGTAGGGCATTGGGCTCATGTTCAAAAGATCGTGAGTTCGATCTCCGCCTGCCGAAGACTCGCCGTGTACAAAATGCTTACTGGTGCACGCGTAAATCTTTTGGAGTCACAAAGTCCTCCAAGTTCTCTTAACAAATCAATACCTCTACGGGTTTTGGAGCGGAGACTGGTCGTGCTCGAGTTCAGGTCAAAATTACGATCTGAGGATGGATGGATGGTGTATGGATGTGTCCTCCCTGTAATACGGGTCGCGACACATGTGTGTGGCAGAAATCAAATTCTTGACCATAGATGGAGCTACTGGAAAACAAGAAGAAGAGCACCTCTTTTCCTTAAAATAGGCTTGCTTGTATAGACAAGCGACATAAGACGACAACAACAAGCAATAAAGCAAAAATTAGTTTATTGCTTTATTGCTAGTTCCAAGATATTTTTTAATTTTATTGCAGCCAATTTTGATTATAGATTGTTTTGAAATTAAATCCTTTGCTTATTGATATACTTGTTACTATATATATTTCTTTATATAATAGGATTATAAATCAATATTTTAGACATATTTGCTCTTTTTAATATTTAGTACACGTAACAATATCAGGTATTTAATTTATTATAAAAGATAAATTCAAAAGAAAAACATGAAAAATATAATGTAACTTTTGAAAAGTTACACTTACCTGTAACAAATCTGAATATGGCTTTGAATCCTTTGACGTCGTTTGAAGAATGCCTTGATTTAAATTCGACCATCATTGATGGCCCATTGGACATTAATTGTGGGGGCGATTTGTTACCACAAAAGTTATCCACTCTTTCTTTTTGTCCGTTGATTGTTATAAATACCATCACTACATCAACACCGTCACAGCTATAAATGAAAATAAAAACTTAAATATAATATCAAATAATTCTAGCAGTATTTTTTGCTAGATCAAACACATATTTTATTTCATAATGCTAGTTAGCACATTACAATACTTGTACCAGGTGAAGAAAAAATAACAGTACATTACAATACTTGTACCAGGTGAACCAAAAATAACAGTACATTAAAATACTTGTACCAGGTGAACCAAAAAATAACAGTACATTACAATACTTGTACCGGGTGAACCAAAAATAACAGTACATTACAATACTTGCAACAGGTGAACCAAAAATAACAGACGAAATGAAAGGAGATGGAGATATAGCGTTTTTTCTACTTAGGAAAGCAGAAATGTTATTCTTATCAAATTTCAAAACAAGTATCGTGGCAAAAATAAATAAAAAAATCTAAGAAAATATTTTTTTAAATTCTCGTATGAGTGAACTGAAATGAGTAGTTGCACGAACTTCTGCGAATTAAATACATGTTGTTAAAGTCTAATAAATGCAATAAATAATATATTGAAGCAAACAGTGGTTATTTAGAAAACACTGCTTTATAGTACTCTTTTGTTATCAATTCCATCTGTTGACGAACTTCATAACTAATTTGAAATTTAGTGATAACAAATCTCGTTTCCTTAGCAGGATATAAAAAATGCGTTTTTGCTTATTTTAGGGACAGCTGATGAAACCATTTATAGTAAATGCAAGAGTTTAATATCTCTAGATAAATCAGGATAATGCTTTAATAAATTTAAAGTTATGTAAAACGTTTTGATTTAAAAGTATCTATCTTACAATGTTCATTCATTCTGGAGATAGTTTTGTAGTAAACTGGACCATTAAACTTAACAATAAGATCCTTGCAGAAAATACTTCATTACATAAGGTGATTTATTTTTCATAACGGTATTGTGATTATACTATAATAATTCTTTAGTAAAATAATTTTTTCATTTATTGTTTCATAACAATAACATATTTTAAGAGAACTTAAAATCATTCGTAAACTTCTTAATATTCCAGCAGGTTTCTTACCTTAATTAAAGATTTAAAATAATTTATGCTTTCACGTAATGTTTAATCTCATTTTTTTAAAAATTTTATAGCTTTAGAAATTTAAGAAATTGAATTATTAATAAGAAATATGAAAACATAAGTTTAAATATCATTATTGGGAAAACTAATCGTAAAATATTATTTAAAGTTAATTATTAATTAACAGGTCTGTACAATGATCAACTATTGATAAAATTGAATTAAAAATTCAATTAATCAAGATTTAGTTAGGGTACTTAAGGTGTATTTCAAATTTTAAACTTAAATCTAAGCTTAACCATCGATTTAAAACGTAACAACAGAAACTTATTCGCGGAGGGAATTTAAAAGTGAAAAAAAAGTTAGTTATATATTACAATGCCTGTAAAATTAAGCATGAGAAAAAAAAATTAACTTTTGTAATACCAATACTGTGCATAGTGATTTAACAAAACGATAAAATGCATTAACAATAACAATTTTATAAAAAACTCAATTATTCATAATTGTACTACTTTATACAAATGGAACTTTTTTTCTCCAATTACGGCTTAAAACTCCAGTTAGTAAAATTCCATCAGGAATGATAGTCATCATTATTTTTATACGTTTCTCAAATTTAAATTTTAACGACCTGATAATATAATACCGACTGTCTTATTGCAAACCAGAAATTATTTCTTTAAAAATGAATGCGAATTTTTGACTTTCAATTATTTTATTCCTATTAACTTCTTCTTCTGATGGATCTTTAGCAGAAATTAAGAAAAAAAAGTTGTAATAATCTTTGAGACCTTTTAAATTTTCATCGAATTCTGATTTACTAATTGCTTTGGGAAATACTGTATACGGCGGTATCGGCATTGTCAAAAGGTAATCGCTTCTATAAAATACTATTTTAATTTTAATAATGGATGATTCAGCTTTTTCCAATTTTTCTTTAATTTATCGTGGGATCATGGATTTTAGATAAATTTTACCATGAAGACATTAAAAATAGTTTCAGGGAAATATGGGGGGATAAGTATTATATAATAATGAGACAACGTAATAATGGTGATTATTACGTTGTAAATTTAAGTTTGTTTCATTTGATTTTTGTTGTTGATATTATTTACTTTTGAGTTAATTCATTCATTCTTAAATAAACTTTAATTTAAATTTGTTTATAAAAATTATTCTGACAAACAAATAATTATTTTATTTTTGGTTCTATTTCATATTTTATATGTAATCGTAATGTTGTGGGAATTTATGTCAATGCCATAAATAAGTTATACTTTTAAATTTGTGAACAGGTAAATTTATTTGAATTCAATTTTTGTGTATCCAATCTGGATTTTTAATTCAATAATAATAATAATAATAATAATAATAACAATAACAATTTATTTCAGTTCTGAGTTAAACAATGTTGGGAAGTTTAACTTGACACTCGAATATATATTTGAATTTCAAGCTTTTTAAAATTAGTTTTCATAACACTGTATTCTAAAATGTTGACTTCAAATAATAATATTTATTTAATTTTGATTGATTTAACCAAAAGTAATTACCTGGAAGCAAAAACTGTTTGTTGTAAAATATTTATTCATGACAGGGTTTTCACTTAAACTTTGTAATAAGAGAACAAACAAGTAAATGATATTTTTCTTGCAACATGTAAAATATTTGGTTTTAAATCACGTAAATTTATTTCGGAAAATTTAAAGAAGAAAAGAAATTTTTCTATATTCAGATGAAAGAATTTGTTTTACAAAGAATTTTTAAAGAATAAGCTATGGTTACATATTTGTATTTATAAAACGTTAAATATTTTATTTTTATCTAGTATTTTTAATCAAGATAAGAATTAAATGAAAAAAGGAAATGTTGTTCGTATTAGGTAGATAGTGTCATTAACGGTTTACAACTTATTTATTTACTAATAATTTAGTGAAATAAAGGGTTTAAAATTACTAACTCACTCTTTTTAACTAATTTAATTAATTTTTAAACAATAAAATCTAAGTTATATTTTCAGAATAATATTAGTTTCCAAAAAATATTAAAATAAAACTTACTTTTAATCCTTTAGCAAATAAACTAAATTTTATTTACATTGAACATTCTCATAAAAAAAACTTGAAGCACGAAGTATTAAAAAATGAAGTTATAGTCAAAATAAAAAAATATTATTGCTGGAAAACTATATTTTAAGCAATACTTCACAAAGATAATAAAACATTTATTAAAAATATGACTATTAGATGCATATCATGTAATGCAAATTAAGCGAAGCTTTTATAATATTTCTTGTATCGCACGTTATCTTTACTAGTTTAGAATAGTTTACAAACACATTTTTCTAATCTATTAACCACTGAAGTATTAAGTAAGGAGACTTATTTTATATGTATAACAAAATTTTGAAATTTCGCAAATTGATATTTATTTTAATATCGCCTTGAATATTGAGTAGCATTTATTTTTTTAAGCATTAATATTTTTATCCACGCAACATAGTTCTATGATCCAAGCTTAGAATTTTTTTTTAAGTAGTATATTAAATATTTATAGCGAATGTTTTCTTCGAAGTATCTAGAAAATTTTTAATGTAATTTTATTCGAATATTGTAATAGCTAAAATGTTCAGGAAAACTTGTTAATAATTATTTTAAAAATAATAATTTTCTCTTATATTTAGTTTGTGAAGAAGTATTTTTTTAATATTTTTTCAAATAATTTAATTTTCTTAAGCCATGAAGGAAACAGCAATAATTGAAAACTAAATTTTTACAAAAATAATTAGAAATAAAATTTTATTAAAGTAGGACCAATCATAAATAAGCATGATATTCTATTGATTCAATTAAACTAAATTAGATTTTTGTAAAAACCGGTAGAATTGAAAAACGTTTGAAATTAAATAATTGGAAAGCTTCTCCAACAAACGTGAATCCTATGTTTTATTTTACACCCTGTTTGTGAGAGAAGTACTACATACGTCACATCCGGGTTTGAATGTCGATGGAAGAGTGAAGTACTGAAGTACGTCTCTCAGTAAAAGATACTTTTTTGACTTACTGATAGTGCATCAGGTTCATGAGTAAGTATTCATTCTTTAATGAAGTGCATGCTGAGTTTTAAGCAAAATAAATTTCTAAATTCAATTTTAATTTTTTTCATTAAACTGTGTTAAGTATTTACTCCTTAAAATTGATTTGATATTTAAAATATAGGCGGCAGCACTACTATTGCGTCGCAGGATTTTGAACTATTTGAAATGTTTTTGAGAGCTTTTAATGAAATAATTAAAATTTATGAAAGTCTGTAATAACTGCCATGATAAGCATTAATTTCAATTATATATTTTTTGATGTAATAAATAATATTATTTTTGAGTTTTATTGATGGCTTATTGATGCATTCCGGTATTGATGGCTTATTGATGCATTGCACATAAAATATAACTTTTGTGCGTTTGACTGTTGTTGTTTTTCCAGAAATTATTTGTGAGAAATCAAAGTTTTATAATTTTCCAAGCGAATTGAGCAATGTCAAAATTCATATTCTTTTTATACATTTAATTATAATAAAATGATTGACAATTTTTGTGTTTCTAAAGTAGGGTATTGCTATAGGAAAATATAAAGGAATAAAAGATAAAAATAACGAATGGAATATTTTTATAAATTTAGTTTCCTAATGGCGGAAAAAATAAAAAAACTAATAACTTTGCCTAAAAAAACACCATTGTAAACGATGTAATTATGTTTGCTTAGAACGAGTCAAAACCTTTGGGAAGTTTTATTTAATATGAATTATAGTATTTAAAATTGGAGTATTCCATTAGTATTTGAAATTGGATCTAATTCTAGCATGGAAGCCTGATTAAAAAAAATTTAGTGTACTTGATAAAAGGCCGTGAAAAGTTTTAGATGCATACTAATTAAAAAAACACTTATTTGAAAAATCGTAAATATTTATTTTTGAATAAAGCAAATAAATAATTTATTTGTTTATTTGCACATTGAATTTATTAAAAAATATTGTAAAATTTTAGAATTAATTTCGGGCATTTCATGAAATTTAAAAGCAAATACAGTTTTTTTAGCTGACATTGTATTTGTTTTTTACTAAATTGTTGCAACAATATTATGTTTTATATAAGGCTTGAAAGTAATCAATTAAAAGAATTCAACCACCGTTATTTATACATAAAATTTTTTTTTTGTTCGAATTCCAAAATGCAATGCATTATTCTTTTTAATATTGTGTATAATAGCAACAATCTAAAAATTAAAAAGAAGAAAAATATCCCAATTATACTTTATCATGAATAAATATATTTTAGAAATTTTTTTTTTGAACCAATCTTTTTTAAATTCGTTCTACTTAGGTTGTAAACACATTATTTTTTGTAAAACAAAAAGTTGAGCTTCAATTACAATAAAATATAAATTGTTTACGTTCATGTATTTGAATTTTAATAAAACCTTACTAATTTTTTGCTCAGTAGGAATTATTAAAATAGCATTCAGGAACTAAAAGGGTGGAGTGATATAAAAAAGATCATAAAGACATCTCTTTAAAATATCACTAAAATCCAAGACAAAAAATTTAAGCGTTGAAATGTCAGCAGTATATGATTTTAAACTGAGAGTCAAAAATTTAAATTGTAATGGAATTTAGCTATTTTTTACTTTACTTGGAAACTTTGAAATGAATAAAAACATATTCTTTACTAGTTTAATATAGTTTCCTCACGTTCGAGTCCTATTACAAATAGAAAATTGTTTTCGTTCGAAGGTGTGAATTCAGATGTATATTAATAAATTATTTTAATTCTCGTAGACCATGACAAAATTTGCCATTAAAAGCCATTGCATTAAAATTAAAGTAGTAAATGAACATGATGACTTATTTGAACCTTTATGAAGAAGAAGAAGATCTTAACACTTCAATTTCCTTTCCTGCTGTTCTAGTCACATTACAAAGAAAGCAACAAATTGCCTTCGTTGTATTTAGTTGTTTATCTGATAAAAAGATATAACAAAAAAGAAAAGCTAGAATAGAATAAAAATGAGCCTGATTTTTTTCTGGGGGGCTTGAGGGGTAAAGACTCAAACAATTTGACTTTCTATCCATCCTACGAAGTAGTGATAATTCAAATTGGCAACAATAAACTAATGATTAGCATGGTAATAATATTATTTCAATTCCGGAGATAAAAGTAATTTAAATCACTATTAAAAATAAAAATTATAAAGGAAATTAGTTATTATTTATTTGACAAAGAAACTTTGCAGTGAATAAGAGCATATTCTTTTGTAGTAAAATTTATTTTCCTCATGTTGAAGTCTTATTACAACAAATGGTAAATATTTATGGTTCAAAATGTCGAACTCAGAGGTATATTACTTATTTAATTGTATAAATTTTCGAACGCCATGACAATAATTACCATTCAGAACCATAAAATTAAAAATTAAGTTGCAAATGAACATGATTACTTATTTGAATCTTTATGAAAAAGAAGATCTTAACACTTCAATTTCCTTTCCTACTGTTCTAGTCACGTTACAAAGAAAGCAACACATTGCCTTCGTTCTATTCTATTGTTTATCTGATAAAAGATATGACAAAAAAGAAAAGTTAGAATAGAATAAAAATGAGCGTGATTTCTTTCTGAGTGGCTTGAGTGGTACAGACTCAAGCAATATGGTTTTCTATCCATCCTACGAAGTAGTGATAATTCAAATTGGCAACAATAAACTAATGATAAGTATGGTAATAATATTATTTAAATTTCAGAGATAAAAGTAATTTAAAACACCATTAAAAATAAAAATATGAATTATAAATGAAATTAGTTATCATAAATTTGACATGGAAACTTTGCAGTGAATAAGAACATATTTAGTAATACAATTTATTTTCCTCATGTTCAAGCCTTATAACAACAAATAGTAAATATTTATGGTTCAAAATGTCGAACTCAGATGAACATTAATTAATTAATTATGTAAATTTTCGTACTTCATGTCAATAATTGCCATTAAGAACCATTAAATTAAAAATTAAATTGCCAATGAACATGATTACTTATTTGAATCTTTTTAAGAACAAGATCTTATCGCTTCACTTATCGCTATTTCCTTACCTCGTGTTCCAGTCACATAACAAAGAAAGCAACACAATGATTTCTTTCTTTTTTATTCTTTATCTGATAAAAGAAGTTAGAAAAAAAGTGTAAATGACAAAAAAGAAAAGGTAGAACAAAATAAAAATGAGCGTGATTTCTTTCTGGGTGACTTGAGTAGTATAGACTAAAACAGCTCGGTTTTCTATCCATCTTACAAAGAAGTAATAAGTCATGGTTCAAATTTTCGACAATTCATCAATGAAAAGTAGGGTAATAAAAATATTTGAATTTCAGAGATATAATAAGTTTAAAACTCCAATGAACATTACGAATTCAAATTATAATTGTTATTAATCATATTTTATTTGACTTTTAAACTTTGAAATGAACAAGAACATATTTTATTAGTTCAATTTATGTTCCTCATGCTTAAGTCATATTGCAACAAATAGTAAATATTTCTGATTCAAAATGGCTTAATTCAGATGTATGTTAAATAATTACTTAAACTCTCGTACGCCATGACAATAATTGCCATTAAAAACCATTAAATTAATACTTAAGTTGCAAATGAACATGATTATTTATTTGCACCTTTAAAAGAACAAGATCTTATCGCTTCAATTTCCTTACCTCGTGTTCTAGTCACATTACAAAGAGAGCAACACAATGCTTTCTTTCTATTTTATTGTTTATCTGATAAAAGAAGTTAGAAAAAAAAGTGTAAATGACAAAAAAGAAAAGGTAGAACGGAATAAAAAAAGAACGTAATTACTCTCTGGGTGGCTCGTGTGGTAGGTGAAGATCAAAATCCACGAACTGAATCTGCACTCTCTCCTTTCCTTTGCCCATGAAAGAATAGACGCAGAGGATGTCTGCCGGGTACGGTTCCGGGTAATTAGGACTGGTAAAGGAGCCGTTTTTCGAAACATCACTGGAAATCACTTGACCACACGAGAGAGGAACTGAAAAGAACAAAAACAGTCTTGATTAGAATCTACTCCAGAACAGAACCGGGATGCGCGGATTACAGTCAGAACGTTCGACCATAAAAGTACAGCAACGAGAATTACGAGGGGTGCAGCAGTTCTTTTCGAAGGAAAAGTACTTCGAAGAATTCGGAAAGGGGAGAAAAGTTCTTGTTAGATGTTTTTATCTTGGTGTAGTAGGCAATGGATAACGTTTATGAGCGGGGGTACTTAAGGGTGATTTTTATAAGTTTTAAAACTCGGGTAATTTTCTTAATCAGCATATGTAATATATAAATGGGAGAATTTTCACTAACTCTTTATTAAACACATTTTTTCATTATTTTATATTAATTTAGGTCAAAATAAGTGATATTATATTTAGCATTTTAATAAATTAGGGTTATGAAATACAGTATGAAACACCAGTATCTTTTTCTGGATTGAGGGTAAATCCTTTAAACACGACTCGCTTCCATACTATTTTTAAAATTTGCAGTTATTTAGGTATTAGAGAAGTAGTTATTCATCTTCGAAATTTCTTTAGTTTTACCAAATAAGTTATTGATAATTTTTTGAATATGAATGAAAAAAAAGTTCAAACTACTTTTTTGGGATTTCATATTTTAGTACAAAAATGTTCTGATAATTTAATAGATTTCTTTTTTTAACTATTAAACTGTTTTTTATAATTAAAAAATACAGAAATATATTCAGAAAAATTGTATATCAGAAAAATAATATACACCGAAAGGCCATTACATTATGACCACCCTCCATCTATAACAATGGGCTCGCCCAGGTTTTCATGGTTTCTCGCTCAGGAACAATGTTTTCATGGGGCACATTAGGACCCATAATCCTCGTAGAACAATCCCTGACTTCTGTAAGCTACTTGAACATAGTTGCAGACCAGGTTCACCCATTCATGGCAACAGTTTTTTCTGCAGGGGATGGTGTTTACCAACAGGGCAATGCACCATGTCATAAGGGTCGAATCATCATGGATTGGTTCGAGGAACATACCTGTGACTTTCAAGTCATGTCTTGGCCCCCAAATTCACCTGACCTTAATCCAATAGAGCATTTGTGGTCCTACTTGGAAAACCAAATTCGTGATGCCACGTTACCCCCTCGCAATGTGAGGGAATAGCAGGACCAGTTGGTGAGCGCTTGGTACCAGATACCTCAGACTACCTATCAGCACCTTGTGGAATCAATGCCACGGCGTGTGCTAGCAGTTTTGAGGGCTAAAGGTGGTCCTACAGGTTATTAGCAGGGTGGTCATAATGTAATGGCTCTTCAGTGTATAAAAGGGGCATCGGGGATCCATCTCCGTCAAAGGGCTTGTTTTGGTAAAAAATCTTTTAAAAAAAAATCAGGTTTTATTTTTCTGATGCAAAGTATAAAAAATAATATGTTACATCTTAATATATTGGAAATAAATGTACCGTTAAAGTGTTTGGAGCTAATTGAACCAAAATATCGTTTAAATTTGCTGAAACCTTAATAAGGTGATGAGTTGAGCAATATTATCGAACTTCGTAAGCTTGGTTACATGATATTAAGGTCCAACTTGTATTAAAATTTTTTTTAACATCTGCTTAAGGTATGTTCAAATTTGTACCTTATAATTGTTAAAAATGCTAATGTTATACCGATTTCTGAGATGGTAATTAAGTAAGTCAATGCGAAATTAAACTTTTTTTTTGTAATACGATTGTCTACACAATACTGTGGTTTAGTTTGATTAAGCAAATTGACCCTAACACTAGCAGCATAATAATTTGGGTATTCATTGGGCCAATATTCACCACAATAGAATTGTCCAATTGATCCAATATTTCATTGCCTTTATTTCGCCAATATGTGCCCTATACAGATATGTTAAGTTCACCCGATATTTTATAGCCGTTATTCAACCTATGTTGGTTCGATATCGAAGTGTTCAACTCAGCCAATGTTTTATAGTCGTTATTTAGCTAACATAAACCCTACTTAAAATTGTCCGATTGACCCGATATTTTAAAGATGTTATTCATTCCATGTAGATCCTATTTAAAATTGGTCGAATTTCGCTATATTTTATAGCTGTTAAATAAAACCTAAAATGTAAATAATAAACGCTTTTCATAATCTATTTTTTAACATTCTGCAATATCAAAAATAAGAATAAATTTTTAAGGCCTCTTACATCGCTTAATTTTTTACGCCAATTCACACGGTATTACCCCAAAAGCCGTATAATGAGTAAAAGCAATTTTTCCTTTTTAAAATATGTGTGTTTAATTGTTCTATTAATTAATTAATTAATTTTCAAGATATTTGGATCAGCTGAGAGTTTAAAGACAAAGCATTCAAGAAGTGGTTTTCTTATTTCATAATAAATAATCCTGAACAAAAATTTTCTTTCTATCCTCTCACTTTTATCAAATCAAATCATTTATCAAATTACTTTTATCAAAATTTTATATCAACTATCAGAAATTTAATAGACAAACAAAGAGAAAATATTTCTTTTCAAAAGGTTAATCTTTATGTTGTACTTGGACTATTGTGAAATAAACAAAAATGTCTTATGAGCAAAAAAAAAANTGTTCTTTTAATTAATTAATTAATTTTCAAGATATTTGGATCAGCTGAGAGTTTTAAAACAAAGCATTTAAGCAGTGGTTTTCTTATTTCATAATAAATAATCCTGAACAAAAATTTTATTTCAATCCTGCACACTTTTACCAAAATTTTATATCAACTATCAGAAATTTAATAGACAAACAAAGAAAAGATATTTCTTTTCTAAAGGTGAATCTTTATATTGTACTTGGACTATTGTGAAATAAACAAAAAGGTCTTATGAGCAAAAAAGAAAAATCTGTTATAGGTGGATTTGTTTGTATTGTAAATCACTTATTAAGGAACTAGATATAGAAATGGATATTTTTAAAATATTTTAAATCTTTCCAGGTTCAATAGATGCAAGTACAAAACTGGTTCTTAATTTGCAAGTCTATAATGGTCTTACATATTTTTTGAAAATGGTTTTAGAATGGCTTTCGATATCGGACCGAGATTGAGGTGTATAAGTTTTGTAATAATGGGTGCTAGAATGGCAGTATATTCTGGCCTAAATTTTTTTTTATGTGGGATCTTTATAGATTTACAATATAAGGCCACTATTGAGGTGTCTAAATTATTTAATATTGGTCCTCGAAAAGTTTTGAACATAGGACCAATATTAATTTCTACATAAAACCCCTGTAGGCTTACGAGCCTGTAGCATAACTACAACTACAACTTTTAAATTCCAGTTTCCTAGTATATAAGGTATGTTAACTTGATTCTATTTTGAGTTACCTCCTGGTAGTTGAAGGTTGATATTGTCGGTAACTTAGCTCCACAAAGGTTCCACAAAGGCTGCTCGCAGGCAGGCCTGTTTCAACAAGCACTCTACATAGGTAACTTTCGTACGTGATCTGAACGCGTGTGTCTCGACGGAAACGATCACCTCGATAGGAACACGCGTACTTTGATGGATGGAACACAGTGAGCAATTGACTTGCAATTTATGACGGCGACATTGACGTCCTCCTGCTGTTGCTACTCAGTCAAGATCAGACACAACGGGGGCCTTTAGCCTAGCCCACATTTTTAAAATGGAGAAAAATTATTGAATTCTTTTGATAATACCAGGCTTTGAAATATATTTTACTTTAAAGTCCATAAAAATGTATTTTATAAAATGGAGAAAATTAATTGAAGTCTTTTGAAAATACCAGTCTCTGAAATATATTTTACTTTAAAGTCTATAAAAATGTATTTTTTAAAATGGAGAAAAATTATTGAAGTCTTTTGATGATACCAGGCTCTGAAATATATTTTATTTTAAAGTCCATAAAAATGATTAATAAGTTAGAGAATGACTATCACAATATTTAAATCTTATGCTTATAAAATGTTGAAAAGTAAGCTAAAATGATAATTAGGAGAACTTTGATTAAAGCGAAATAATTTTTTATTTGTATCTCTTTTGAAAAATAGTACAACAGATATGCAGAAACACATTTATATATTACTGAAGTCAGTAAAGATTTTGATAAAAGTTTAAAAAATTTATCAAAAATAAAAATTTAAACATAACTGCAATTAAAAATAAAGCAATCTTTTTTTTAAGACATCATTTCTTTTAACAAAGCATGTTTTAAAATATAGAAATTATTAAATTTGAAAAAATATAGTTTTTGAATAGTTTGAAATCGCATCGTTTGTAGCTGTGTCAATAACAGAAATTTTAAGAAAAACTATGTTAGATAATTAGTTTTATATAAAAAACACTTCAGGATGTAGTTTTTTAAGATACTTTTATATATTTAAAAAAATTGCGGTAAAGGTTCCGTATTTTTTTAAACTGCAATCGAAATTTCTTTCAAAACTACGATATTTTTTTAAAAATTTAATACGAATAGAAATATTAATAGAAATAACGAATGCTTAGAAACTGCTTTGGTAAGAAAAAAAAGTCAAAATTTTATATTTGATAAAGCTAATAACCTAACTGGGTACGGCTTTTATTACGCCAAATATACTCTATCTATAAACCGCTTTTATCAAGCGAATCCTAAGTTAAAAAAGATATTCAAATGAGTATCTTTTTCATTTTATTTTTTCATGCTTAAGTAAATATTCACAGTAAATATTCATAAAATTTTAATATGATTTTTTTTCTGTGGCAATTCGATAAAAAAACTTTTTATGAAGGCTACGAAGTTTATTTGAACAAAATAATTTGAAATTTTATGAATAACAAACCGTATTTATTAATAAAATGAGCTACCGCGTTTATAAGTTTTACGGCATAAGTCTTAAATATTTTTTTTTAATTAACACAACAATAATAATATTTAAAAAAGGCGGTAATTAGTAAAGTAAACATACTTCATTTTTGATTATGTAAAGAGAAAAAATTAGAACGCTGAAGTTAATCTTATTCTTCATTGTGGTTTTAAGTTTTTTCCCGACA